AGTCATAACAATTACAGATTTTACACTTTCTTTTTAATTACACCATAAAACAATTACAGATTTTTATACTTCATTTTCATTGTAATCATAAAATAATTACTGATTTTTACACTTGGTTTTCAATGTCATCATAAAACAATTACAGATTTTATACTTTGTTTTCAATGTCACCATAAAATGATTACAGATTTTATACTTGCTTTTCAATGTCACCATAAAATAATTACAGATTTTTATGCTTTTCAATAAAACAATTTTAGCTTTCTTTTATACTTGGTTTTCAATTTCATCATATAATATAAAGCCGTTTTTACACAGTTTTTTTTTTCAGAATTCATTAAACACTGATAGGTGTTTTTTTCTTGTATTTAGTTCTTTTTTAATCTATTTTGTAAAAAAACATTGGTAGCCTTTTACAGTTATTTAGTTTTCAATGTAATAAATAAAACATTTTAGAGTACATTAAATTTTTAATGAATGTGATCAAATAAATATATGTGCCATCAACTAACAATGAACAAAAAATTAACATTAAAATTTCATTTCATATATCTATTTTGTTTGTTTGTTTCATTTTACGCCTTCCTTTTCCTAACAGTATTTCAGTCATATAGGCGGGTAGTTTCCTAACCATCGTTTCTGGAGAGTTACACCAGTACTAGACTACCTTCCTCCGTGCTAACCATATATCTATTTTAAGAAAGTAGCACAATATGATATTTTTAATGTATAACATTGAACAAATTCCTTAAATAGCACTTTATAATGCTGCAATGATCATTTAAACCTGTTATTACATAATGTGCTTGAGAATTCTCCGTATGTCATACTACCATAAGTGTCATACTACCATTAAAGCCAGACAAGAATTCTATTTTTTATGAATATGAAATATGTGATTTTGCACATTAATTTTATTAACTGAAAAATTACAGCAAAAGAAATCAAGTCATATAACAGTGTTACAAAGCACATTAGTCTGGATTATGTACCAGTATGAAGCAATGCCAATTTGTCAAGGAATGACACTAATGTCACATCAAGGAATGACACTATTGTCACATCAAGAAATGACACTAGTGTCACATCAAGAAATGACACTAGTGTCACATCAAGAAATGACACTGGTGTCACATCAAGAAATGACACTAGTGTCACATCAAGAAATGACACTAGTGTCACATCAAGGAATGACACTAGTGTCACATCAAGGAATGACACTGGTGTCACATCAAGAAATGACACTAGTGTCACATCAAGAAATGACACTGGTGTCACATCAAGAAATGACACTGGTGTCACATCAAGAAATGACACTGGTGTCACATCAAGAAATGACACTAGTGTCACATCAAGAAATGACACTGGTGTCACATCAAGAAATGACACTGGTGTCACATCAAGAAATGACACTGGTGTCACATCAAGAATGACACTTGTGTCACATCAAGAATTGACACTGGTGTCACATCAAGAATTGACACTGGTGTCACATCAAGCAATTACACTAGTGTCACATTAAGGAATGAAAAAAAGGAAAATAGAGCTAATCAAAACAGTCCTTACTGAAGTAACTGGATTAATTGGTTTTTAAAACAAGGGAGATAAATCATTTATAAACACAGTAGACATAATCATAATACATATGCTATACATTAATAAATCACACAAGGTTTATGCTTAAAGCTTTGACAAAGCAGACAAACACGTTCAAGATTATGTTTTGAACAAAAAGAACAGACTATTGTTCAAGGGAATGTTAACACACATACCAGGAATGCAAGATCATTATCGGAGCAAGCTATTTCAATACTTGAGAGGTAAAATTCAGTCCACTCACATATGTACACCTAATCTATTAACACATATTTAGGAAAATCAAGTGTGTGTGTGACTTAATTTTTTTGTTGTAACAATAATATACAGGATGGCAAACACATGCAACTTTTGGACGACTTCAGTAAATGAATTTTCAGTCATATAAATATAATGAAAAATCTGAGTTGGTAACAACTAAAGAAAGTGTGTTCTTATCTATAGTTATAGCACTTTATTCAATTCAATCTTAAAAGCAATACTCACCAAAAAAAAAACTGTTGGAATCAAGGCTTATGGTAGAATTCTTTAGTTTGTCTAAAAGTCACTTGGACCTGCCACCCTGATGAAATTTCTTTACATAAACATACAAAGTGAAATAAACCAATCAGCAACTATGATACCAGTAATTGTAACAAGAACCGGTTGAACCGGGTGATGCTCCCCGAGAAGGTTCTGGACACAGGAAAGTATAAAAAAAATGAACAAAGGGGAAAAACTCCAAAATTAGGCAAAGCAGAGTTATGTTTTTTTGCACTGCACTTCTATTCAATGAGATCTATCTATCTATAAAGTTTCCTGATGGTATCAGAATTATGTCCCGGGTAAAAGTCAAAGTGTAAAAATGAACAAAGGGCAATAACTCCAAAATTAGACCAGGCTTTGTTTAGGTTCTTTAAGCATTGCAATTCTATCCAATTATATCTAGCTACCTACAAAGTTTCATGTTGATATCTCTGATAGTTTTAAAGTATTGTCCAGGACAAAAGTCAAAAAGTAAAAATAAACAAAGGGCAATTACTTCAAAATAAGGCAAGGCAGAGTAATGATTCTTAAGCACTGCACTTCCACCCAATGAGACCTATCTATCTACAAAGTTTCATGTTGATATCTCTTATAATTTTAGAGTAATGTCCCAGACAAAGTCAAAGTGTCAAAATGAACAAAGGGCAATAACTCCAAAAGAAGACAAGGCAGAGTTACGGTTCTTGTGCACTGCACACCTACTCAATGAGATCTATCTACCTACAAAGTTTCATGTTGATACCTCTTATACTTTTAGAGTAATGTCCCGGACAAAGTTCAAAGTGTAAAATAAACAAAGGGGGGATAATTCAAAAATAAGACAAGGCAGAGTTATGGTTCTTGTGCACTGCACACCTACTCAATGAGATCTATCTACCTACAAAGTTTCATGTTGATACCTCTTATACTTTTAGAGTTATGTCCCGGGCAAATTTCAAAGTGTAAAATAAACAAAGGGGGGTAATTCAAAAATTAGGCAAGGCAGAGTTACGGTTCTTGTGCACTGCACACCTACTCAATGAGATCTAACTACCTACAAAGTTTCATGTTGATACCTTTTATACTTTTAGAGTTATGTCCCGGACAAAGTTCAAAGTATAAAATAAACAAAGGGGGATAATTCAAATATTAGGCAAGGCAGAGTTATGGTTCTTGTGCACTGCACACCTACTCAATGAGATCTAACTACCTACAAAGTTTCATGTTGATACCTTTTATACTTTTAGAGTTATGTCCCGGACAAAGTTCAAAGTATAAAATAAACAAAGGGGGATAATTCAAATATTAGGCAAGGCAGAGTTATGGTTCTTGTGCACTGCACACCTACTCAATGAGATCTATCTACCTACAAAGTTTCATGTTGATACCTCTTATACTTTTAGAGTTATGTCCCGGACAAAGTTCAAAGTGTAAAAATAAACAAAGGGGAATAATTCAAAAATTAGGCAAGGCAGAGTTACGGTTCTTGTGCACTGCACACCTACTCAATGAGATCTATCTACCTACAAAGTTTCATGTTGACACCTCTTGTTGTTTCAAAGTTATGTCCCGTACAAGAAAAGGGGACGGACAGACGGACGGAAAGACGGACGGACGGACGGACAAGGCGGCGACTATATGCTCCTCCGAAATTTTTTCGGGGAGCATAAAAACAACAAGAGCTGTCACAAGAACAGCATGCTCTATTCTCAGTGTGTGATAGTAAAAGAGTCTGGATAATGTAGAATTTTCTAAATTCAAAAAGGGCTATAATTCTGTCATAATCCATGTTGGAGTTATGGGCCTTAGTCAGTGACCTCCAACTATGCTTTCAAATAAGTGTGCAAAGTTTCTACCCAATCCATTCATTACTTTTGGTGATATCAACTTGCACGCAAAATCTTAACCAAAGTGTGATGCCGACACCAACGCCTGGGTGAGAACAATAGACAAATAGCCCTCCTTATTCTTGTAATAGTCATGCTTTAAAATCAGTCAATTTTCATCTACCAACATAGACAATTGATAACATAATTAAATCAGGTCTTCTACAGCAAGTATGATCATATTTTATTTGATACAATAAAACACTTGATAAATATGATAACAAGCTCACAAAATGCTTTTTAAGCTAATCAAACATAATTCAGTAAAAGAAATTTATTCATAAATCTATCACAATAATATTACTTATCACATTGTACAATAGTTTTGTCATCATCATTTGAGCAGCGCCATGAAAAAACAAACTTAGTGCGTTTGCGACCAGCATGGATCCAGACCAGCCTGCGCATCCGCGCAGTCTGATCAGGATCCATGCTGTTCGCTATCAGTTTCTCTACTTGTAATAGAGTTTGTAAGCGAATAGCATGGATCCTGATCAGACTGCACAGATGCGCAGGCTGGTCTGGATCCATGCTGATCGCAAACACACTATGTTGATTTTGTCATGGCGCGGCTCATTTATATAAGCTATCAGCTTTTCCTGTTTGTAAATATTATCTGTAACTCAAAACAGAAAGCAACAACAACAAAAAAAGCTTAAAAAAGATTATATATAGATACACATAAGTCTATTAATGCTTTGATGTTATAAAGTCGACAATTTTTCCTACATAAAATTAGTGAATAAATGTTTGTTCTATTTCTTACTTGCAAATTAACTAGTGATGTTCGATTGTCGCAAGTCGCCGATTATCACTTACTGTTATGTAAAACGACAATAATCGATTCACAAAAGTTTGTTCCGCGACGTCGTCAAAAATGTTTTAATTATCAAAGGGAATTTAATTCTGACGGTAATTTTCCTTTAGGAACACCTCGCGGATCGCAAAAAATCACTCAGAGACAATTTGGAGTTGAACAGGATCAATAAGTGATGTAAAACAAAAGAAATATAATGTGATGAAAATGGTATTATTTGATATCCATTGAAAAATAAAATCTATTTCGTAAAATTATGACTATATAAGGTTAAAACTGTGTTGAAAAGTGCTAAATGAAGTTCATGTTATTAAATATAATCAAGTGCCTTGGAAAGAAATGTTACTTCCCTATTATTTTTTAACCCGACTTTATTCGAAAGTTATCGATTATGTCCCATCCGACTGAACCGATTATCGATTGGGACAAATTTCATCCGATTTCCATCACTAAAATTAACATAACAAAAAAGTACATATGAATCAACATATTGTAAATGTAATATGTATTATAACTTAAATCTTCTTCAACTACTGACACCATATGAGGCCAGAATTCATTCTAAAATTTTTTGAAAGGATCAAATTAAAGTATTTCTAGTCATATTCCAATGGTCACTTTGTCACCTTAGTGCAGTAACGGGCTAACTCCTTATATGATTTAACATGAGTTAACCCGTTACTGCACTTAAGTGATCATTTGTTCTGCTGAACAAAATTCATTTACCAACTCAAACAAAATTGTGATATATGGCCACTTAAAAATTTAGCTTGAATATCTCAATTCAAAAACTTCAGCTTGTAGTACTGTTTTATATGCTAAGATTTGGCTTCTGATAAAGTGTTCATGCTGTCAGAAGATTTCATTTTATCTTTTCTATCAAGCCTCTCTAAAGCTTGACGTCGTAGAGCTGTGTTAAGTCGACTTGCACCCCACATCCAAATCCATTCCGGTATCAAGTTGGACATCCACATCTAGTAATATAACATAATTATAAACAAATTATAAAATTTCAATGTCTAATGGACAATGCTTCTAAAACACTCATCATGCTACAATTTCAACAAAAGCGGCTGAAAATACATACAGTCCAGGGGCGGCAAAATGAATTGTACGTATTCCCCAGATTGTTACAAAGTTAATACGGACATGTGTAAATATTCAAGAATTAACGGCATAGATATCATATGGACAAGTTAAGAAATGCTTCAGATATATAAAGACAGATAAATCCAGACAAGTAAGTTAAAATCAGATTTTTCTGGCCCTTAATATGGTACAACCTACACAGAGCTGTAGAGCAATCATCTTGCCACTGAATGCTGTGGGTCTGAATCCAACCTTGCACAAAGAATTATTCAATTTAAAGCAGCTATCCGGCTACATTAATGAAGGGTTGTGGTTCTACTCCAGTGATCAGTCACACATTAAACACTGCAAAGAGGGCTGACTGATGGACAGACGGACAGACCAACCGACCAAAACTAAACTAAACTGAATTGATAGATTTCTTTAACACTTTCGACTAATATTTTTAATATTTAATATGAATTTATTTAGCTATGAATACCTTGTCAGGGGGCATTGTTTAAGTAAGATTCAGCAACATAAAACATTCATTTTCATTGTAACCCTTTAAATGCATATTCAATCATATAATAGAAATTGATTTGATCAAAAGTGTTACCAGAAACAAAATTATTTTTTCAAAGCGTGTATAGTACAATACCAGAATAGCAATGCCAAATGTTGGCCACAAATAAGCAGCCAAATCATATAATGCCATGATTAAAATAACTGACCTCTATTAAAACATGTGTATTATTTGTATGGTTGTAATATATGAATGTATATAAAAGGAGCATTCAATCACCCAAGCATTCATTACTTCATTCTTACCCCACTAAATATCTTTAATGGACTTGTCCATATTGCAATCTGGACAAAACCATTCACCAATTTTAGGGAAAAATTCAAAATTACTGAATGTATAGCAACCACTGCAGACGATAATCAAACAGCACAGATGTGCCAGCTGATCTTGGTCTGTACTGGTTGCATGGGTACTATTGGCTCAACCAGGCTTAGACTTAAGTACTGTAACAAATGCCAAGAGCTTGCTATGCACTTTACCTGTATAGTATGAGGCCAGTAGCCTGTGGTTCTACCACTATATCCTAATGTAGCAACAGCATGCTTGGCGTAAACCTCTGCCGAAGGTACAAGAAACCCGTTACTGGTTAAAGTTTTACTGTAGCGTGTCATTTTAGTGTTGACATAAAACGGTCGCAAGGACTGGATTACTATTCCATTATTCTTGTATTCGTATCTCAGAGCTTGTGCAAAATAATCCAGAAAACTCTAAAAAAATACATAAAAGATTTTAAATTCAAAGAGTTTAAAACACAAAAGATTTTAAATTCAAAGAGTTTAAAAATGCCCAGGTTGGACTAGAAAACAAAACATATCTCGAAACTTGCAACAACAGTAAATCTGCCCAAGAACTGCATGTGTCTCTTTTGATCTGACCAGAAATATGTAACCTCAGATAAAATGTAATTCTGCACTAGGTAAAGTACCATTATATAAATAATAATACAAGACTTGAAATATCAAGTATTTTCAATGTTTATATTATCACATATATCATATAAGTACATATTAAGTTTACATCACATGATGGTTTTATGACTTGTAAGCTTAAACAGTCTGTGTATAGATGTCAAAATGTGAAAACTTTCATAAAAGGATGCAAATAACAAGTATAAAATGACCAAATTGTGTTAAGAACAAACTATACATTAATGCGGAGTTAACTCTCATCTGTTAAAATAACCACTTTTGTCAAAAATTTAATAGGGGCATAACTCCAACAATATATTTTTCAGAATCATGCCCCTTGTCTAACAACTGCACCTTGTTAAAATAAGCATGAAAATTTTTAAAATAATTGAATAATGGGCTACATTAAGTTTTTGCAAGATGACGACAATGAGGCTGCAGTGATGATAATTAACTCCATTTTTTCTTCAAAACAGACAAGCTGAAAATAAATAATGATCATGGAAGCATTCTGGATAGTATAAGAAGGATTCTGTCAATATCCTATAAAACAGTTTAACACTGATAAAATATTTTAATGTCAAAAACAGAATTATTATTAGAATTGGTTCTAACATTGATAAAAATTATTAAAATTTCAAAAACAGAATCATTTAGACTATAACTATGACAATGTATATTGAAGTATGCAGGACAAACCTTAGTTCCTGCATACACTGTCATCTGAGGTGTGATTTGCGAACATGCTCCACTTGATACAACAACGACCGCACCACGCCCTCTGAAATATTAATAAAGCTTTACATGATTTAGAAGTTTTATAGAAAATTCATTATACATTTGAGTTTAGTTGATAAAAACATTTTACACAATCCCAAAATAAAGTGCAAGAATAATGAGTAAATAGGTAATAAAGATACAGCTGTCTGTGGGTTGTTGTTGTTGTTATTTAAGAGTGTCAGTTAATTGTAATGTACCAGTCAATTGTAACAAACCTCTGTCCAACCCCAGGGCATAGCAGAGGTTAGTCTGTGAAAATGAGCTTTATTTTTCCCTTATATCTGTCCACACATTGACCTGGTAGAACAATGAAAATATCAGCAAAAAATATTGCAGTCCCACGATGCAAGAGGGCATTTGGCGAAGATTTTACCATCTTGTTTTCCCTACAGGATGAAGCATATAAAGAGAGTTAAAAAATTTAAAATCAGAAGTCCTGGCTATTGTCCGTTGTAGAAGGACTGGGCTATAATTGACTGCTGTTATAACAATATATCCTGAGGTAGAATATCTGAATATACATAAAACTAATGTATAAAGATCTGCTTCTCACAAAAATATAAAGATTATATCATGACACACATGTTTTTTATTAATAACATCTGTAGACGGAAAAAATTATATATTTATAATATACTTTGTTACTTTGGTAACTTATTAATAATATATATTATAATAATAATATGACTCATGTGGTACTGTAGTTAACATAGAAAATTCAAGACTGACCTTTTAACCATCTGTGGGAGAATCATGTGAGTCATCTACAATAGAAATATATCTAACATTAAGTTTTAAACTAGATGTTCAGCTGTAGCACTGTGTACAAACTCACTATAAACTACTTGTTTTTCTTACTTCAGGATTGGAAAATTGATCTACATGTATCTTGCATAATCCCCTTACAACATAAAATTGCAAAAATACTTCTGAAGGAAATGCCAAATTCATTCATGAAATATATTTCAAAGCTACAACTAGTAAATAAATAGAGGATATTCAAGTTTTTTCTTTAAATACAGGCTTTATTTTCTTCGGATGGTATGAAAATAAATACTTTCACAAAAACTTACCTTATCATATACATGTAGTAGCAAACTTTCAAGATAAATATACATTAGCCAAGAATGAAGAACTTATCCGAAGAAATTATTATTCCTCACCTCAATTATTAATCAGCTAAGACCTACATGTATAATTATGTAATATAAGATTTGAAGGAGATTGTGAAAAGATTTAAAAATAAAATTTTTGCTGGGTTTTACATGGCACCAACGCTGTATAGGTCATAAGGCGACTTTCCAGCTTCATTGGTAGAGGAATACCTCAGGTTCCCCTACGTACATTATTTCAGGCACGAGCTGGCACCTGAGTAGAACCATCAAACATTCCATAAGCTAGCTGGATAGCTTCCTCACACGAAAGAATCCAAAGTCCCTTGCGAGATTTGAACCCACAGCAGTGATGCACAAGTGGTTTGAAGTCAACAATCTTAACCACTCGGCTACGGATGCCCCATTCTCATTGTAATTAAAATGTGTTGTTACTCACCATAGTTGCTGCAGCAACATTTATATTTACTATCTGCCATAATCTCTGTAATATAGAGCAATAATATGATAAACATGATAAAACAAAAAGAAAATACAGTCACTGTGTGAACAACCACCTACTTTCAAGTAACAAATTGATATATTGTTACATACAGATTGTAAATCTGTGAGGTGGGCCAATTTTGACCCTAGGGTTTTTATTCGAACAAACTTGGTAGACACTCACCAGAAGATGTTTCATGCAGAAAATTTAAGCTATAGCTATTTGAATTTTTTTAAAAGAAGTTTTTTTAAGTTTTTACTATATACAAATAAGGAAATTCTTTTTTTTTTTTTTTTTTTTTTTTTATAAGGAAATTCAATGACCCCCGTTATAACAGATAGTAAATCTGTGAAAAGATGCAAAAGAATCATCCAAGTGATTCATATACATCCATGTCAGCTCAGCTGAAGGGCATAGCTTGGTTTTATGTTCAGGTTTTCTTCTAGGGTAGTATGGGGGCTTGCATCTACAAGAATGTTTTTGCTCTGGATTGTCAGATATACATTTTGGCATATATCTAGCACAGAAAATATGTTCCAGGCATCATTAGAAAATGCAGCCAGACAATAAAATGAGTCTTATTTTTTCACTTTCCTGAAAATATGAAAGCCTCGTCTTACACAGCCTATAGAAAGCTACACCATTGATTTCCTCAAGATTCATAAGGGTATTGGGATTGTTCTATAAGTATTACATACATTTTGGCTAGCATGTTCTCATGAAAGAATCTAGCTCAATGACACTCAATTAATTATTTTTATAGCTTAAACACATGACACTGTCAGTCAGTTGTGTCATTGTTTAAAAGTCTTGAGAGAAAAAAAAAGACTAATAAAATCACCTTTAAACTTAAAGTATATAATGAAGGCTTGTCGGTTGAGTATATAAAATACACTTACATCTTCAGGAACATCAAGAAAGTACTGGGGATGATCGTACATCACACCTACATTATTTACTGTAATAAAAACAATAACAAAAATAATTATACATGTATAACAAATATATAACTTTAACCTAACTTCAACAGTAATTTGATCATTTTTCATGCAGGTTTTAGGACAATTTTTCACTTGCATGTATGTAGATACATTTTGTACAAGTAAAAACCCCTTTATTACTCAACAGTGACAATGTGAAATAGGCTTATTAGTTAACAGTAAAATGGTGTCATAACTTAATTTCCTCACCATACTTGGTTTGTCAAGAAAGCTGTCTAAAATGTAAAATAAAAGTTTAAATAATTTCATAACTTAAGAATTGCTACTTATCATAAGCCTGATTGTGAAAGGAAGCTTGTAGATTATTTTAACTAGTCACGAGTCTGAACATGAAACAAACCAGGGTCCAAGGTTACAAAGAAACTCTCTGAGCTCATACTTTGGTCCCAAGAATTTGATTGGTCGAAAACTTCTACAAAATGTTCACTGACCAATGAAAATCCTCTGATTTGAGACAGAACTTAGAAAAAAGTTTTATAACCTCCAGACCACCCCCTTGGGCCACCACAAATTCTTATATATCTATAAATCAAGCTCGAATAAAAATAATCAAGTATAAAAGAAAAACACTTTTAAAAATTACATATAAATTCATATAACCTACCTAACACTCCAATCTCCTTGTCTTTAATACTGTCCCAGATTAAATTATATGTGTCCCTACCCACAGAAAAATCTACTGCTACACAGCTTGTTTGTACATTGAACTCTTCCTCTGAAATTTAAGATAATAACATTACATTCTCTAGATATAACATACAAGTTTTTTTAACCAGGTAGTTATCCAGGGCATCTTGCTTGTTGTAAAGCAATGTCACTTGCTCCTAATAATATCCTTGGTTAGGGTTTAAGTCTCGCAGACCATTTTGCAAAATTCCAGCCTGATTGGTAGAGGATGAAATACCTTTATAACAGCAAGTTGGATAGCTTCCCAAATTGCCACTGGCAGTATTCAAACCTTTAGTGTAGAAGGGCAAGAGAATGCAAGTCAGTAGCCTAAAAGGAACTCCACTAAGATTTTTGTTACATTACCAGACTGGAAATATTTTTTCAAGATCAATGCTTCGTTTGATGTAGGTCTAGACCACTAACTTATGTGCAAAATTTTAGATAATTTGTTCACTCTGTTTTTCCAGAAAAATTATTCTAATATTGACAAGGCAGTCTGAAGGAAAGCTAAATCCCCTTCTGCAGTGAACATGAATGTGTACTTCTTAACCTTGATGTTGTGTCACGCATATCATAAGCACATAATCTCACGATGGTCGTTATTTGTGCTTAGTTATTTAAAATCTTCCATAAAGGAGTACATATAACCTTGACCTTGGGTGTAGCAACCTGGATGTTGAGCTCTGCAGATTGTGTCATGGTGGGGATCATTTGTGCAAAAAAATTTTATAACCTTTGAATTGTCAATAAGTTACAGAGTTATGTTATGGACAGACACAAAATGTAGAATTTCTAACATTTGACCTGTAAGTGTGACCTTGACCTTGGGGGTAGCAATTCAATTATTGCGCTCTGCACATCATCTCATAAAAGTCATCACTTGTGCCAAGCTATTTAAAAAAAATTCAGAGGTTTAAAAGTTATGGAATGGACATGCAATGTAGACTTTTACACATTTGACCTTTAAGTGTTACCTTGACCTTGGGGGTAGTAACCCAATTATTGCGCTATGCACATGTTCTTATAATGGTGATCAATTGTGCCAAGTAATCTTTTTAAAATATCAGCGTTTAAAAAGTTATGGAGCAGACACGAAATGTAGACTTTTTAACATTTGACCTTTAAGTATGACCTTGACCTTGGGGGTAACAACCAAATTATTGTGCTCTACACATTGTCTCATTATGGTTATCACTTGTGCCAAGTAATTTCAAAAATTATTCAGCGGTTAAATAGTTATGGAGCAGACACGAAATGTAGACTTTTTATTATGAAATGAAGACTTTTTAACATTTGACCTTTAAGTGTCACCTTGACCTAGGGGGTAGCAACACAATTATAGCACTCTGCAAATTGTCTCATTATGGTGATCACTTGTGCCAAATAATTTCAAAAAGTTTTCAGCGGTTTATAAGTTATGGAGCGGACACGAAAGAGTTACGGACAGACAAATTGTTTGCACACAGCAAGAGATATAATTCTAAGTTATTGTCTTACAAGCATAAAAGTTTATATGACATGTCTATTTTCATTGTATGCAAAAATAATGTCGACAATATTAACAGTGACTTTTTTCACACTATTTCGAAACAAACCTATGCTTTTTAATTGGGGAAATTTAGCAAACTAACCTTAAGAAAATTTGAAACAATTGTAATAAACCTGACAAAATATTTTAACTTTAAAGCTATTGTCAAAAATAAAAACAATAATATGCCTAAAAATATTGAGAGATATTGGTTGCTTCTGTTAGGTTTTGCTCAAGAAAGTTTAAACTTAATTGTGAATGTTTATCTTGGGAAGAAATAATACTGATATTATAGAAGTAATTACTCTACAGAGGGCCAAGGGCCGCTTGGGGAGGTTTAACAGTACTATATTATGACATCTACAATAACAGCTTTTATAAATCAAAGCCATGCTACAACACCCAACATGAAAACTGATAATACACAACATTTTAGGCAATGTGATTTTATATACATGTATAGCATTGAAGATAGACACATTGATGTGATGTCTTAAAAGTTGTGCTTCAAATTTAATTTTGTGACCTGAAATCATCACAGAAATAAATTACAATATAAAACAAATTAGATCATTATACTCTACAATTCAAGTTATCATCTCAAATATTTATATAAAATTTAAATTACTTTTGGACATTAAATTTTCTTCACCACTGACTGGCGTCACATTAAACCTGTTAAATCTGAAAGTTTGTTATGCATGTAGCATTAGCAAAAGACAGCAAAATAATTCTGCCAATCAAAGACCAAATGCTTACAAAAAAGACAAATAAATAATAATAATTAAAGAAAAGACAAACAAAAAACACAAATTAAACGACTTGATTACATATAAAAAGTTACAAACAACAAAATTTAAACTTGCATGGACTAAATATAGAGCTTTAGTATCATAACTATACAATAATATACATTGCACCCATAAATTATTATCCCAGCACAGTTTATTTTTGTGAGTTAAGAAGACTCATCTGAATGTTAAATTTGAGCCTAGTATATGCATTCAAAATTTCTAAAGCATTAATGTACTCCATCCCTTCACAACATGTTAAAAATTTGGCCAACTTCATCACTTACAATATCTCATTCATATGTTCTAAAACAAGCATGTACAAAAGATATTTTTAACAATATGCATCAAGTCATACTGATAGGTTTTTATCTATTTAATACAGTAATAAAGTAAGTGATGAAATATGCTGATTTTCGAAAGTGTTTATGAATGTGCTACTTTAACCTGCTGGAACTGAAAGTGATTAGCCTTTGCGACCAGTAAAGAGCCCGGCTAGCCTGTCCAATCACACTACCCAAGTTACCCGTACAATGTGACCAATCTCTTTTCTGTTGGTTGCCAAATATATGCAGTATATAAAAATTTATTTGAATATTTAAAAATAGTTATAAAAATTGAAAGCTAGATAAGTGCCATTAAAAATTTCAGCAGGTTAAAGAAACTCCACTGAGGTCTAAAAACCTAAAAACATAAAATTTGAATTCCTTACATATCTTCATCTGGGGCACTTGAAACAGAAAGATATGCAAAAGATGATTGGAAATATTGTCAGAAATCAATTTATAATCATAATTTTGGGCTATTCTTAACCCAATCTGAGTGAAAGGCATTGCAACTCTTTTCAATTTCGGGTCATTTTTCACAATTAGAATAATTATTATGGAAAAACAGAGAGAGTGAATGATCTAAAATTTTGCACACTTATTATTAGTGTAGACCTACATCAAATGGAACATCAATCTCGAAAAATTATTTCCAGTCATGTCACATCAAAAAACATCAGTGAAGTCTCTTTAATGGTTAAGAAGAAGAAGCTGTTACTAAAGCTGAAATTTCTATATAACAACAGCGAGCACATTGTGATACCTATTTGTCTAGCAGCCTTGTACAGCCTATTCTCTGGCTTACTAATCAATACCAGATTTAACCCTCTACTTGCAAGCTCTCGTGCATAGGCTCGGCCAATGCCTTCACTGCTACCAGTAACAACTGTAAAAACAACAATACAAGTAGAGTTAAACACAAACCAAAGGGTTAGATGAAAGCTCAATTACCTATTTCTGCTGCAGCTTTTTTTAATTTAGTTTCGCTTCTGCTAATAAGTATAATGTTCAATTTTCTCCTTGCAAGTTCCTTTGCATAAGCGAATCCAATTCCTTCACTTCCACCAGTTACAACTGGAATAAAGTGTGCATATATTTGCATTATAAAGTAAATGTCCCAGCATGAATGTCTTATTTAACTGGTTAATAACAAATATAAAATGTTGAATAGTTTTAATAGTACTTTCACATTCAATGTTTAGAAATGACCTCTGCATCACACTTCCTTTTAAATATTACTTTTAAGTGTATGAAGCTATATATCTGCTACCTATTGTTTCAATTTGGAAACAAGAGCGATCAGTAATCACATGTGTCGCCTCATAATGGCCAATTTCATGTTGGGACAAATTTTGTGACAGACGGACAGACAGACAGACGGACAGTGCACAACTAGACTTGGTACTGATCATTCATGTAAAGCTTGGATAAAATTGCACCAGTAGCTTATGAGGAGTAGTCCGGACAAGCTTTTGCGTATCTGGCAACACACAGAAAAAAAACACCTTTTTATCAAAGGGCCATAACTCGGCCAAAAATCATTCAACCGGAAAACCCGTGCAATATGCGCAAGGACTTGAGCTACAGATCAGTCCTGTAAAGTTTCATTGAAATTGCATAAGTGGTGTAAGAGAACTAGTCCGGACAAACTTTAAAAATAAAAATTATTAAAGGGCCATAACTCTGACAAAAATCATTGAACCGGAAAATGCTGACAATATGCACCACTAGACTTGGTACTGATCATTCCTGTAAAGTTTGGATGAAATTGCACCAGTAGTTTATGAGGAGTAGTCCGGACAAGCTTTTGTGTATCTGGCAACACACAGAAAAAAACACCTTTTTTTTCAAAGGGCCATAACTCGGCCAAAAATCATTCAACCGGAAAACCCGTGCAATATGCGCAAGGCCTTGAGCTACAGATCAATCCTGTAAAGTTTCATTGAACTTGCATTAGTGGTATAAGAGAAGTAGTCCGGACAAACTTTAAAATTAAAAATTATTAAAGGGCCATAACTCTGACAAAAATCATTGAACCGGAAAATGCTGACAATATGCACAACTAGACTTGGTACTGATCATTCCTGTAAAGTTTGGATGAAATTGCACCAGTAGTTTATGAGGGGTAGTCCGGACAAGTTTTGTGACGGACGGACGGACAGACAGACAGACGGACAGACAGACGACGGAGAAGTGATCCCTATATGTCGCCACTACTCCGTAGAGGCGACACAAAAAGAATACTTCAAAAATACCTGTATGAAAGTTATATATTAGAATATTTCCTTAAAAGCAAATGGTGCATTCAATCATTGCTTAATAGTTAAAATCCTACTTAAAATAGCAGCATAATACTTTGTTCTGAAATATTTTATGCTGTTTATGCACAATGTCCATGCGTTTCAAATAACAAAGACATTCCATGTTACAACTCTTCCAATCAGAAAATGGAGTAGTATTACAAACATTTCAACAAGTTTACAAATAAACATTTAACAAGAGCAATCTGTGATCATGTGTCGCATGATGACAGCCAATTAAGGGGTGATTGGACAGTTTGTTCCCTTTATGTCACGCTCCTTTGTAGCATTTTGAAGCCACTGTGTAGCAGAAGATAAATTATTCATTAGCTGGCCAAAACACTTTTTTTATTCAAGGGCCACGACTCAGCAAAATATCATTCAACTGGAAATCATTTGTAATAGGGGCTAATATTGCGACAGACAGACATGCAGACAAACAGAGGGGCAGACAAAAGATGGAGAAGTGATCTATATAATCAGCTATTGCATTGCAAGCGACAACAAAAATCATTAAGGAGTCAAAATGCCTTTTTCATTCAAGGGTCATAACACAGCCAAAAACTTTTTCAACTATAAAACCAATGTAATAATTATGTGCATGAACTTATAAAGTACCTATCAGTCATGTTAAGTTATATTCATAAGTGGTATAAGAGAAGTAGTCGGGACAAACTTTAACAAGAACTGTCGGAGGACAGTATTGCCTCGACTATTCAAGAAAGTTGTCACAAGGGTGTTTTATTGAGTATAATAATGCTAATTTTACAAGCAAAACTTTACCATGAATTTCTAAGTTGAAAAAGGGGAGAAATATCAGCCTAAATGCAAGATAGAATTATGGATCTTGGTCAGTGACCTACAATTATGATTCTAAATGCATATGTGAAGTTTTAAATAAATATCTTTAATAGTTATTGAGATATGTAAAACTTGCATGTAAACATTAACCAAGAGACTAAGTAGAAAAGGGGAGATGAATCAGTCTAAATGCAAGATAGAGTTATGGAACTTGGTCAGTGACATACAATTATCATTATGACCCTCCAATTATGACTCTAAGTACATGGGTAAAGTTTCAGTAAATATCTTTCAAGACCTTTTACCTTTAACCAAAATTTCTAAGTTTCAAAGGGGCAAATAATTCTGCAAATATTGTAGGCAGAGTTATGAAATTTTGCAAACTGATGAACATTGTTACTAGAAATAAGTATTGTAAGTTTCAATTGAATATTTCAAGCAATAATTGAGATATTTGACTTAACAAAAAACTTTAACCAACGCAGACGCCGACGTGGATGCCGACACCGGGGCGACTACAATAGCTCTTATATTCTTCGAATAGTCGAGCTAAAAATAAAATCATCAAAATACCATAACTCTTACAAAGATCACTGAACTGGAAAATGCCAACGTAATGCAAAAATAGACTTGGTACTGATCATTCCTGTAGTTTGAATGAAATTGCACCCGTAGTTTTGTAAAGTAGTTTCGTTACAGACAGATGAACAGGGCGGATGAACAGACAGGTGAGGAAAAGTGAACCCTATTTGTCACCGCTCTGTAGCAGGCGACACAACAGACAACTTTAATTTAGTCATGTGTGCAATCATAACACATTTTGACTTGATAGGTATTATCTTTAATTATACATAAAAATATGTAAACAAATGAATTTATGTGAAATAATTGCAAAAATATACCAGGCTTCGCGAAAGTTGCCGGACCGTCGGACATGTCCGGCAAAAATCAGGCCGGTCCGATATTTTTTTTCGGAGTTCCGGACCTTATGTCCGGTACGAATACCGGGATATATCCAAGACCGATCAAGACCGAGTTTTCTCCCTTGAATAAAAAAATGTAAACCGAGTTTTGATTCGCCGTTTCATTATAAGTGTCCAATCAAATTCTAGATACATACGACTGTCAATAACCAAAATGTCGGTGTTACTACATTATTACGCTGGCGCTACGCCCGGCAAAAATCGTAAACTAACCAATGAAGAAAAAAAAGCGAAACAAAAGGAATACGAGTCCACGCGCCCGCCGAGAATTTGTGGGTAAATGGAAAAATGGCCGCTTTGATCATGAATGTTTTGATTTCCAGACAGAGTCCATCAATCTGGATAAACTAATGTTTTATTTAAGGGAATAAAATTGTGTTGCAAATCTTTAAAAGTTGTTATGTCTTTAAAAAAAACACAAAGGTATTACCATATACATATATTTGAAAAAAAAATTCGGTCAGACAAAAGTTCTTTCGGTCAGACAAGAATTGAAATTTTTCAGCAGTTTCGCGAAGCCTGATATACTGCCGGTTTTTGTCAATTTTAATTTGTTAGTGATCATAACTCTGATTAAATTCGTATTCCTCTTATCATAATCATGCTTATTTACTTTAAAACTTTCTGTTAACTAAAGGATCTATATCATAATTTTGTTTATTAGAGGACCGAGTTGGTATAGGGCCGAGTTGACCCTTTACCCATTTCCTTACGCACCTGCCCAACTGCCAAATTTTTCTGCTAAATCACAATTTGCTGAGAGCCTACTAATTAAATGCACATTGACAGATTCAAACAATGTTGCAGATAATTGAAAAGTTTTCCTTGCAGCATAAATCGCTCCCAAAATTGCAAAAGCATCTTTAATATCTGAGAAAACCTCTAAAATTTCACGCAGAAGGAACTCAAACCGGTCAATAGCAGCCATTTTTAAGGTCGCGGTCACACAGATGCTTGAAAATTAACCTTTACCATACAGTAATATTAAAACATGGTACCGGTTTCACACCACTACTACAGTAAATGAGCACGTTGGATCACGTATCATAATGATAAATAAATCTAACAAGTAACATACATGTATATCCATTAAATTGTCAAAAATGTGACTTTCGTTTATAGTTGAAATCTGTCTTGAGTTAATAAAAATCGGTATGCCTAAAATACGAAAGTGAGATTTTTGACGAAAGTGAACGAAAGTGCCTTATTTCACATCCAAACTAATCTCAAACCTTTCATTCATGAGATTCTCTTTTTCACTAGAAGTGCCTGATGGCATCAAATTGTGTGCACATAAACTATGCTACTGTCAAATGAAAATAATACATTGGAAAGGATATTTACATTAAATATTTTATTACTTAGTGTAATCTCATACAAATTTAATGTCGTGTTATAGTCATCTGACAACCACTTAATTGGCTGAACTAAACAGTAGAATTCAAGACATGCTTAAAGGCATAAGAGTATTTTAGGTCCTTTTTTAGAGTCCATGACAAGTTGTTAATTCTTTTCCAACTTGGAACTGTTTTTTTTAATTGTTGAAATTGCAGGAAAAATCAAATATTAAAGTATATAATTTTAATGAAGATATTTCTACTGATACTAAAAGATCTCATGAATGCTTTTAGAAGTTTGATAAATGATATCACAGCTGTAATGAAGATTTACAGTCAAATCGGCCCCAAGTCAGATCGGCCCCAAGTCGAATCGGCCCCAAAATAGTCAAATCGGCCCCAAATGAAATCGGCCTCAAGTCAAATCGGTCCCATTTTTTTCTTTATTCATTTTTCTTTTTTTATTTAATGTTGCAAGCATATTGATAAAAACAAATTGTGTGGATGGGTATACCAAATGACAAACCATGGATTACAAAGAAAAAAAGAACAAAACATATTATAATCAATCTATTTATTGTCTGAGTATAACAATTTTTACATTTATCTTTAATGCAGCATAAACATATGAAACAGTAAACATGTAACTGTATGAGGCATATTAGGTTTTTCATACGAATTATTGTCACTTTTTATCACAGACACTGATAGTTGTTTCTCATGATAGCTACAAGCAGAACAATTGAATAAAAGAATTAAAGAGTCAACACTTGTAATATAGATATATATTAATTTAAATGAAATACAAATTAGAAAATAATATGAATCATATCTATATTGTATCATACATTTTTCATGATCAATTATCAGCCAATCATCATAATACTAGCCACTGTTCAAATATATTAATTATGAAATTCAACTTCTAAAACTTATTATAATTTTTTTTTTTGATGCGTTTATTTAAGGTCGCCGCCGGAAAGCCCATATGGGCGACCGTACACTCAAGTCTGGTCATCCTAGAGCGTCCCGCCAAGATTTTTCGTCGATTTTTTTCCAGCTTTATTGGTGGAGGAAGACCCCAGGTGCCCCTCCGGGCATTATTTCAGGCACGAGCGGGCACCTGGCTCGGCTCGGCTCGGCCAAAAAAAAAATATATAGAATATTCCAAATAGTAACTGGTGTGTATTCTTGTGCATAGTACTTCCTGAAACCTTCCACTCAGAAATGAAATCCTGCAAAACAAAAACAACCTTTAAAGTACTCAGAAATGAAACTTTATGTACACAATTACTAAAGATATACTTCAAATATAACCAGTATCAATTAAGATGACTTGAAATAGGCCATTTCAAAATTTAAAAGAACTACTTTCTAGACTACAACGGGCTACAACGGGCTGGGTCTAATACCGTACCGGGTTGAGACCTTATGCACAGAATATATCCGATAAATCCGGCATGTACCGTGATTACCGCGTTTAAACACGGCGCTTATCGATCGATTCCAATTGGACACCAACATTGGCACTGTTTAGAAAGCGCGAGTCGCTTGTCCCGTTATAGTATGTCCCAGTTTTAACCAAAATATGACGTTTCACAAAAAAAACTTTAGGGCCGATTTGACTTGTTTTGAGGCCCATTTGACTAGTTTTGGGGCCGATTTGACTTTTTAACAATTGTTGTGTGGCCGATTTGACTCATTTTGTGGCCGATTTGACTAATTTTGGGGCCATTTCGACTTGGGGCCGATCTGACTTGGGCCGATTTGACTAGTTTGCGAAGATATATATACTACTGTATGGTAGTGTATTTCATTGTGCGATTGTCTCGACATGCATTTCTTACAATACACCGTTTCAACCGTCATCAAAATAAAGAATATGCACGTTATGGAAAATCAAGTTTCACTTCCAATTCTTCTTAACTTTTTGATTTATAATGTTTTTTATTGATTCATAAATCATGGATGTTGACAACGATCTTGATGGACAACTTTTGCAGCAGTTCAGTTCCTTAGGAACGACTGATAAAGAAGTTTTGATTGCAGAGTTTCAAAAATTGCTGGGAAATCAGTTAAATCCAGCAGGATGTGCATTTTTTCTTGACATGAACAATTGGTATGATTTTTTAACTATAGGAAAAAGATAACATGATCTAAAATTTGAAATCAAAGCCCCATAACTGACCAAAAAAAATCTGCCTACTAAAACATTTACTGATTGAGGTCTTCAGGGTACACACTTTTTGACAGTGACAGGACATGTTTGCTATTAGTTCTGTCTTCCGAAACTTGATAAGCCGCTTTTTAACATTTTTGTTTTTCATCTGATGCGGCATTAAAGTTTTGGATTAGACCTGTTATGAAACCTAACCAGAATAACAAACCATGATTTGACCTTATTTTTCATTTGCAAATACCCTTGTCCTAAGTAATTTTTGTGTATTTTGCGATAAAACAATTATTTTAATATTGTCGTATACCATTTAAAGTATCAAATTATTAATACCATCACTAAAATTGCCTATTTAACTGTGACACATCAATTATGCCGACTACAGTCGGCCATGACATTTAGGAGCCTAGCAAGACCTCGTATGACGTAATTCGTTGGGAACTGATTAGAGTTGTGTACTATATTTAGAAAGTCTTTGTTGACATGATTTCAATATTTATAATTCAAGATATCATAATGTTTTTGTTTTTTTTATTTTCTTTAATTTTTAGTACTCAAATAAAATTATATTGAATACCACAGTCAGTAAATCATCATTTTCAATTTCTTGAAAAAAAAAGTTATTTATATAAAAGTTGGAAGTACATGGGTTCTGTTTTCTTAACCGTCCGCGCAATTTAACCTGTAAAGGTCAATCTTGTAATCACATTGTCAAACATTTTGGTAATATGGAGGCAAAGTGCTGACTTATTTTACCTGTCGGAAACTATTAGGTTTATGTTCATAAGTTTTTTATGTGTCCTTCCTTGGCTTATGAACAGATTATACATAGTTCTTTCAAGGTATCCTTCATTTTACTTCATGGCATGTTCGATGAATGAATATGAGCGTGTCAGATTCCTGGCACAATTATTGGTGGACTTCCTTGCAGGTCTGTCTTCAGTGTTCAAGTCATACATGTCATAGTATAAAAAAAGGGGAAGCTGAAGACCTTTAGCTAGTTTGCTATAGCCAAATTATGTTCCATCTGACAAGTTTTTATTGATTAATCTAGTATGCCATTGAGTAAAGTAAAGTATATCCTGAGGAAATTATACATTTGAAGTTTAAAGAAAGAAAGGCATATAATTTATTAATATTGAAAACATGAGAAAAAGAATACCAAACAAGTGTCTGATATTATAAAATTTATCAGGCTTGGCACAAAGAAAAATGAAGGGCCAGGCCAGACACTAGCATGGTGTTCTCCTTAAGGGGCTTATCTATATGAAGAACTTGTCAGACAGCGGACTTATGCAGGAATTTAAAAGTCAAAGTCCCTGTTATTTCCATGGGATGCTGGAAAGGCCCCTGGAATTGTAATAAACTGGTGCATATTAGACACTCTAACCCACAGACTGGGGCATTAAAAGTTCAGGGTTAGATTTTCATATATGTATTGGTAATACTGGTATTTACCTTCTGTATGTCCCTGCACAGTCATGTCAGTGCAGTTGTTTTGTTTGGCATTGTCTTATTGTGTTTTAAGGTCCTTATCCATCATGAATGAATGTGTTATTGGATTTCTATAAATGTGGTATACTTTTGTCTCTATTCATTCTAATGTATTTACAGGAATTTACAAGCTGCCATTTGTTCATACTATGACTTTGATCAACCAAGTGTAAAACTTCCAGAGTTGGCTTTTATAAGTGATGTCACAATAGGTGATGGTGAAGCAGTACCACCAAATACAACATTCACCAAAACTTGGCGGGTAGCAAACTCTGGTAAGTCGCAAACTCTGGTAATTCTTAAACTCTTGTAGTTCACAAAACTCTTGTATTGAACTTTGGTAAGTCACAAACTCCGGTAATTCTTAAACTCTGGTAGTTCACAAAACTCTTGTAATGAACTTTGGTAAGTCACAAACTCAAATAAGTCACAGACTTTGGTAAGTCACAAACTCACGTACGTCACAAACTCTGGTGAGTCACAAACTCAGTCACAAACTCGGGTTCTTCACAAACTCTTGTAAGTCACAAACTCTGGTAATTCTCAAACTCTTTTCAGTTGCAAAATCTGATCATACATGATGCCCTTTTTCAAGAATTATGAATATTTTTTAATGTTATATCAGTTATTGAAACATTGACATTGACACATTCAAAATAGTGAAGAATTAAATGTCCAAGCATTTATATCTATTGATGTATGTTAAATAACAAATCATCTTTTAAAGTCATATCAAAGAAAGGCAAATGTTTGCAGTTGACATTTTCTGTATCTGGCCTATTTTTGTAAGTTGTTGCCAATAAGTAGTTTTTATTAATAATATTTATTATATGATCCCACATTATTCATAAATTATAGCCAATGAGGTAAAATGAAAACATATTTTAGGGTAATGTTTGTAAGCAACACTGAACATTGTAACCATACTTTCTCTATATTGGTTGAAGGTTTTCTATCAAATATAGCTTAAGAAATACAGTAAAGTGACTTTAGTGGGTGTATTCTATAGTCAATATTTATCAAAAACTTGATACTTGTGTTATAAAGAAAAATTTGATGTTTTAGAACATATTTTGCAAATGATATTTTGCTTATAGAATGCTTTGAGAAAAATTGTGTTATTGTTGTACAGGGCAGATGGTTACAATGTGTATTTACTTGCTTTTTTTTTTTAATAGTCCACTATCAATTTAGTGGATATCAGGATGAAAGTTTGGAATTGGTCATCCTAAAGTATCAGAGTAGAGCCTGGTCAGACTGTACAAAAGTGCAAGCTGGCCTGGTTCTTTACAAGTGGCAAAGGCTAATCACGTTTGGTTCAAGATTGGTACAGGTTAATATGCATATAGAATATCAGGAGGGAACACTGTATTTAGATGTTTGATAAACCTGTTGCTTCGTTTGATAAAACTTGTTGCTTTGTTTGATAAAAACCTGTTGTTTAGTTTGATAAAACCTGTTGTATTGTTTGATAAAAACCTGTTGCTTTGTTTGATAAAACATGTTGTTTAGTTTGATAAAACATGTTGCATCGTTTTTAAGTAAAAAATAATCGCCAGATTTTGTAGCCAAAATGCAAAAATAATTGCCAATCTTATAAAATAATTGCAAATGGCGACTATGGCGACCGACAGTGTGAACCCTGGTTTAATAAAACCTGTTGTTTTTGTTTCACAGGGGACGAGCCCTGGCCTGCAGGTTGCCAGCTAAGATACTGCTCAGGGGAAAACTTATCCAATGCCGACCGAGCTGTACTTGATACTTTAAATCCTAAAGAGACGGCTGACATAAGTGTACAAATGCACTCACCATCAACTCCAGGTGTATATCAGAGTCAATGGAGAATGTGTACATCTACAGGAATGTACTTTGGAGGTACAGTAAAATCTATATATTTACATGTATTGCACCATATTCGTTTATCAAGATGTTTTAAGTTGTTAGGTGGTCTCAGTGAATCTTGTTTTCTGATCTAAATATTTTATGACAGTTCCATTTCATAGCTGTTTACAAGTTCATATTATTTGTATACTTTTAATTACTTTTATATTTTCTTTGCATCAAGCTCTTGGAACATACATTTTATATATTTGAGTAATTTGATTAGAATATGTTTGTGTTTTGAGCTATGTAAGTGTCAGAATGTTGTAAGTTTTGTCTATGTGTGTGTGTGTGGGGGGGGGGGGGGGGGGTGTCTGCAAAGCTCTGAAATATAGTAGCCAACATGCATATGGTTGATATTTTTCCATGCATAAAATTATGTGTCAAGTGTAACCTTAATGTGAATTTCTTTCATGGAAACATCATTGTCTTGAAAATTTTATAATGAAACATTCTGCATGTATGTTTATAGTAAAACTAAACTATCATATACTCCAGCTATCGTAAAAGTTCATAATATTTTATATATAATGTGTCAATGAAACATACAGTATGAAATTTTTTAACTTACTTTTCCTATTACAGAGCCTATATGGGTAATCATAACAGTAGCGGAAGGTGGAGTATTAGCTGTAACTCAGCAATTGTCGCGATTCGGAAATGACTTTGTACGAAACCCCGCACCACAAAATATACCCAATCCATTTGCATCACCCACAAAATCTACAACAAATTGTGAAAGTGGTGTTCAGAACCCTGCATTTATGTCACCAAACAATTCAATGGTTGCTCAGCAAGGTAGTCCATATACAACCCAACTCAGTCCTAGTCCGGAGCGAACCCAGCACCCTGTAGGGATGCAGGGTGCCCCAACCAGATCTCTTTTCCAGGTAGGGAACCAGTATTATATAATTAATGTCGTTCTATATAAATGTGATATTGCATTGCTTATGTTAAGAGGTGGTAATTTTATAAAATGAACCGTTTATTTGATGTAATGCATATAAATATGTTGTTAGTTTGCCAGTTGTTTTTGTTGTTTAAATTATACAGTTTTCTTTTGATCGTAAGCTAAGGTAGCTTATCAGGTTTCAATAGATGTTTTTCACGTAAGTTGCTTAAGCTAAGACAAAAATCTCTCACAATTCTTCAATTTGTATGTAAGCTGTTCAAAATGTTTTTGATACTGGTGCTATAACAATATTTTTTCTTCACATAATGTTAAAGAATTTGACAATTCGCCTCACTTGTCTGTGTACGGAAATTATCTGTTAACTCGTGGGTGGGAAATGGGGGGGTTTTGGATAAGACTAAGTTAATATTGTAATATTTGAGTTCATTTCTAAGTTTGATTAGTGCTGTCAGTAGAGATTACCTTGACATTTTGTTGACATTTCAAATTTTATTCAGTAATAATGTTCAGCAACCTCAGATATTATCTAATAAGGGTGTAAAGAGGGTATGTTCACTGATTATGTTTCTCTAGAATTTTTCTTCTCCTTCATTTAGTGTTACATTTCTTTACCAAGTTTTACCTTTTCTTTTCAAGGAATAATGGGACTATTCTACTCACCTTTTCATCCTATAACACCTTGGTTAAAGTTTTCCTGTTGTCTCTGGGATTATAAAATTAAAGGTCTTTACCAAAGATTTGCCAGAGTTGTGGACTCTGTCTGGATTATGGCCCTTTTTGAACTTTGTGAAAATTTCATATTCAAGTTTTGTGCGCAAGATCAGTTTTAAAGATTTACACAAGCTTTTTGGGATTGTGATCAAAGGTAAATTTCCAAGAGGAATCTTACACGTGAATTTCTACACTTGAATTGTAATACATGCATTATCCAGGTTCTTGTTTTTTCTGTGAAGCACTGGGGATAGTCTAGCTAGTGTGCTGTCCTAATGGAAGCAATTAGCTCTTTGTCTTTTAGTTTTGTATAATTGTGTAAATGATGTATTAGTTTAAGAAAATGTTAACTAAAAAAATGCTACAATTTTGAGAGACCTTGGCTATTTTAATTGGATATTTTAACTGTGTATTTCAACCGAATTTAGTAAGAAAGCAATGATGACTTTCAACCCAACTAAAAAGAAATTGCACGGTTTAATTTTTACATTTGTATGAAAATCTTGATTGTCAGAATAGTCTTTTCATGCATAATAATAATATAGATTTGCATAAATTGGACGGGTTTACAAGTTTTTGTCAGGAAATTAAATTGTTACTTCTCCTTTTACACTAGTAGAAATATGATATTTTATTATAATACTTATTAATGAGATATTCAGAAATATTGATGAAATAAAATGCATATTCTTTCACTGCAGTGGAACACATTTTCCATATTTTCACTGGTGTCTTGCTAGACTATTTTTTTCTAAATTCAGCCAATACACTAAATGAAAGTAGAAGTCTTTAGAATTGTAAAGTCAAAAAAGAGAAAATAATATAATAAACAGGACATTTAAGTATTTATTTTTAGGAAAAAAACTTCAATATCCTCTATACTCATGTATGAAAATCATTTTCATAAATGTGTATGAAAATGACTTTCACTTTGCAATGTAAAGTAAATGTTTATTTGATCCCCTATACTTCCCTAGTTTAACCACAAGGCACAATTTTTGTTTTCACATTTCAGGCAGGGGGAGACAGTGGTGAGAATAGTAACTGTGATACTTCATATTCCCAAGAGGAAATGTCCTAGCATAATGTTCTACATTCCACGGATGACACAAGTTGTTATATTGTTGTTGTTATAATTCTGATAAAGAGTGTACGCTGCCATTCCAGCCAAGTTACACACGATTATCCTATGAACTCCATTTAAAAGTACCAAAATTCATGCTACAGCTTGTTTTAATATAGAAATTCAACCAGTGGTTTCATAAATCAGTACAGGTGTAGGATATGTTTATAAGAAGGATATCTTAATTTGACAAACTGTTTTAAACTGTCAGAGGGGATATTGAAAACTGGAATATTTGATCAGCGTGCAAGACAGGCTTTGACTTGCTGACAATGATTATTTTAAAGATAGAGAGAAAAATGCAATGCACCAAACTTATATACTACCATCAACATGCTGCTTACAGCTTCTAGCATTGAATATGCCATTGTTTCTATGCCTTGTATGATGTGAGCGGCCGACTTCTGTCCAAAATTCCACTATGAACGATGACATAAAGCTGTCGCACTACTGAAAGGGCTAGTTAAAGTGTAGTTTGTAAAGAAGGCAGAAACGGATTGTAAAAATTTTCATCTACACCAACATGCTACTTACAAAATTACACACCAATTTAATATTACATGTTTTTTAATAGGGCTATATTCCTGCAAGTAATACATACTAATATTTTAGAATGACTTTAAAAAAAATTTTTGTAAACAAATAGTCTAAGTTTAATGCAAGTTGTTTGACTCTCTTCTATTTTTAAGGTCTCTTGTTAAATATCTTGTATTAAAAATTATTTTGATGCCTAGGTACAATGTAATTATCAAACAGCTTTAGGATTGTATGTTATCATGTTATTTATTGAATAGAAATTTACTTAGTTTTCTCTTTCGCTCTGTTTAATTTATATATTTTTGAGGATGATAAATCAGTTAGCCATTACTATGATAAATTGAACAAGAAATGATGACCTTTTCCTAAATGAGTCTGGTGCTTTGCTTAAGGATGGTGTTTTTAACCATTAACCTTTTGAACCAAGAGTTTAGCCTTTGTCACTAGTATAGAACCAGGCCTGCCTGCACATCAGTGCAATCAGACCAGACTCTTATATTCTAGTCTAGATGGCTCTATTCCTGTATGTTGATTTTGAAATCCTGTAAATGTTGACTGGACTGTCTAATTCAGCAAATTAAGCCTTAAAGCAGAACCTTTCTTTTAGCTTGACTAGTCCAGGATTAGGGAGAGTTATGGACTCATGTGGGCATCGCCATCACACTTTTGAAAAGTTTTTTGTTTGCAAATTTGTATTTCAAAAGTACTGGAGGGAATGGGTTGAAACTTCACACACTTGTTCTCTGTGATTCTCTTACTTGATGGACACAGGTCCCATAACTCCGAGTTACATTTTTACAGAGTCATGCCATCTTTACTTACTGTCAAGCACTGAGAATAGTTGGGCATGTTTTCTCACGGACAGCTCTTGTATTTTGTATGGCACCAGTACTGAATAAAACTGGAAGCAAACTAAGTGATTTAAATATACATAAAGCTTTTATTTCCTATGATGGTGCTTAAAAAACTTTCAAACTAAAATGGTCTTTCTATAATATATTTTGTTTTCCTTTGTCAAAAAATATGATAAACAAGATCAACAAGGAAAGGCAGTGTTCAATGAACCCAAGCCATACAGCATATCAATTTCTTCTTCCTTGTAAAGTTGTAACACAGGTTTCCTCTTCTTTCTTTGTCTTCCATTTTAATGTTATATCATTTTTGCTTTATTTTTTTGTTAAGTTTACATTTTTGCGGCCATATTTAATCAGAACTCCAGAAGGAAAGAAATCTGCACTGTTTCTGTTTTACATGGGAAATGAATTGTTTTCATGTGTGTGATTTTGTTTGTAATTTTCCTTTTCGTTGTATTATTAATTAAGACAAAGTGTACTATAAGAAACTAATGTGTCAATAATTTTCCTTTTCGTTGTATTATTAATTAAGACAAAGTGTACTAATAGTAACTAATGTATCAGCTCTTCCATTTAAAAACTGAGTCAATTCTATCACTAGAAATTAATGTAACACAATTTGAAGATATCAACAAATTCACACAAAAGATTGACTCCTATAATACATGTGATATGTCCAGATTTCCTTTTTGTTACACTTCTTGGTGTATGTAAAAGTAGAGGGCAAACAGATTTTATGAACTTTTTTTTTTGATGAAACTTATAATACTCTATGCTTTCATGTCAATACATTTACATTATTACATCTTTTGTATGTTTTGTAAGTTACATGCAAACATTTTCAGAAATACAAACTGATCTAGAATACTTATTGAGGAAAATGGGGAGCTATTGTCATGACCTTTGTTGTTAGTGTTGTTTGACCTTTTTTGTGAAGTTTTTTTATTATGGTCATTAAGTTGATCTTCAATACTAACAAAGCTATACTATATTAAAAAACATCTTGGAGAGTTCTATCTGTCACACACCATTTTCAAGGTCAAAGGGTCACTGGGACCTATAATAACAAAACATAAATCTTGTCATTTAATTAAAGTGTATTGACCTAGAGTAACTTCAAACTTTGTATGTAGATGCATATTGAGATGTCTAACCAGTCATACTCATTTTGGATCTAAAGGTCAAGGACACATTGACCTTTGTAAGCGTATAAGTTTTTGTTTGTGATTAAAAATTTCAATTATGACATAGAAACTTATTATGTGGCCGGCATCTTAACAAGTGCTGCCTGCCATGCCCATTTACAGGTATAAAGGACCTGTAACTCAATTTGTTTCTTTATTTAGAAAGTGAGAAGTTTACTATCTAGCACTGTGAAAGGTGGAGCATGTTCGCGGACAGTTCTTGGTAACTTTCTTTCCATTAACATGTGCACATAATGTTGTAGGAAAAATATCATTCCTAGGAAAAGTTTGTGAATGAACTTGCTTGCACTAGCACTACTGCACAACAATGAGTATGAAAAAGTTGTCAAGATCATATATTTTGCTATTATAAATTGAAATATTTCTATTTCACCCAATTTCAAATGCTTGCTTTTTTGTGGTTTTGGTTGAAACATTGTTCAAGGACACTATCATCATATTTATGAAATTAGTTCAAGATTACATTATTGGACAAAGCATCACAGAGCATAAGTGTATTCTTTATGTAAGTTCCTATGTTGAAGCAGTAATCTTCCAGTGAATAGAGATTTTATATAAAAAATAAAATTACATTAAAGTAGGAAAAATAGTTTGTTAAATTAGAACTTGTGAATTAGGATTCTGCTGCAAGTAAATGGCTAAGTATTTTAAGAGCATGAGCTAATGAGAGATGTTTTTGTGTTACTTGTACTTTACAATGTACATTTGTACCTGTGTATTGCATGGATAAAAACATGTTCAAGATTTCTTTATTGCTTGCTTGTCTATAAAAAAATTGTCATTTTTTATAATACAAAAAAAAAGAATGTAAAGTTAAATAAAACTAAAAAAATTATGAATTGTTTTTCTTTTTACTTTCATGCCTATGTTTTTAGTTTCCATTTGACTTTTTCTGTGGAAATGTAAGCCTTATAGACAAAACTCGTTATATGATAAAATGGACACAATTCAAGTCAAACATCTTTATGGCCCTTCAGACACTGTTTCAGGCTAACAGGAACAGATTTAAACCTAGAAATAACATAAACTTGCTTCCTGATAGGAAGATTTCAATTAAAATTCCTTGACTCTACAGTACTTACGGTAAAAGATTTTAAGACAGCAACCTTTAACTTCTCTGACACACACTGCTGTATTTCCATTGTAAATTGCAAGTGTTATATGAACAGCCAAACAAGTGCTTATTTTATTTAAAAAAAAAATACAATACATAGTTACAAATCTTAGGAAAGAATTTTTTATGTTTAGAAAGGGTCAAAATCCATGTCGGAGTAGATATTGCATGCATAACTTTAACCAATAATTTTCTAAGTTCATAAGACCATAATTCATCCAAATCCATGCAAATGGCTATGAACCTGGGATAGTGAACTCCAGTTATGGTCACAAAAACTTGTATTAAGACTCAAACAAATAACTTCAATAGTTTTTGAAGATTGATTTTGCATGCAAAACTTTAACAAAATATTTTCTAAGTTCACGTTCAGTCAAAATCCATGCTAGTGTTATGGGCCTTAGTGATCTGCAAACTGAATTATGATTCGGCAGACATGTAATATTCAAATGTTCTAAGCTTAGAAAATATTCGGTATTTTCAATTGTCTCCTATAACACATCAACACCAAATGATCACATCCAAACCATCAGTGTGATCACGAATAAAACAAGTTTACAATGTTGTTTGAAATATTACTTTTATTCCTCTAAATAACAGAATTTTTCTTTTATAATTCTAATATTAAGTAGATGAACTATGAAGACCAATGAACATTTCATCGAAGAAAATATTTAATAATGTTCTCCCTTTTGAAGAAACTGAAATTTTCTTTGCATATCATTGACAATTTATTAACATTGAATCATGTATATTATACTAGAAGTAATGTTTGAAGTCCTCATTTGTAATAAACTTCTTCAGATCAAATGGCAACAGATTATTGGTTCAAAACACATCATCACAATGAAATACCAACCAGATTTTGACCTTAACCTGTTGAATTTCTGTGAAGTATTTTCTAGCTTTGAATTTAGGCAACAGTACACTTGACCTTAAGGTAGTCTTACTGTAATGCTTTTCCCGCCAAAAAATTATAATATCAGCCAATTTCATAGCAAATTGGTTATTTCCTGAACGTTATTTTTTCAAAATTTTGGGCATTAGATTTTTTACAATCACTCATCCTTTATTGCTTTGTAATTAATTCCGGTTATCAACGGTTAAAAAATTATTGAATACCGAAAAATAATGTTCTGGAAATGACCGATTTATTACGATATTGACCGATGTTAGAAATTTTTTGGCAGGAAAGCATTACAGCAAGACAACCATAATAAGATTTCAATATTGAAAGACAACATTCGAGATACCAACAGTTCATGTACTTAAAGCCTGATTAGACTACACAGATGTGCAGGCCTAGCTCTACACTGGTAGCAAAGTCACCTTCTGTCACAGAAAGTTAAGGGAAATCACCTAAAAATGATGTGTCAGGATTTCAGAATATCAAGTGTCTCTTTTTTTATAAATATCTGGAAAAAATTGATTCTTTGGATGCATTAAAAACAACAAAATTACATGAAAATTGTAGACTTGGCTCAATTTAATCTGTACATGAGGGATAATGTATAAGTGCAAAGTGCAACATCCCTCACTCCCGCTAGCACCGACTTGAGCGGTACTCAATTCTGAACACATAAAACTTCTTCAACCATTAAGAACACCAATGTAAATCAACAATATAAAATCAATATTGTTATATAATTTAACATGCTTTATATTGCAAAACCTATGCCATAGTTTGGGGCTTTAATATAACATGTTTTATATTGCAAAACCTATAATGTCATAGGCTGGGGCTTTAATATAACATGTTTTCTATTGCAAAACCTATACTGTATAATCCTGTGCTTTAATATTGCATGTTTTATATTGCAAACTTATAATAACATAGTCTGGGGCTTATTTAATATGTTTTATATTGCAAAAACTATTTTATTGTCATAGCTCAGACCCTACTGTCAAATTCTTTGCATTGCACTTTTAGTTGTAGACTCTATGCACATTTTGAGAGAAGATAGCACATTACACTGCCATATCCATCTGTATTTTAGGATAAGGTTTGTATCCAACAATTTCAAAGTCCTCCATTTTGAAGTCATCTATATCTGTCACGTCCCTCTTTATCTCAAGTGTTGGGTAGGGTCTTGGTTCTCTTTTTAACTAGAAAAATATAAAAGTTTATTCATTTCAAAAGCAAAGACTGTTAAATGATTAGAAATAAAACTGACATTTGTCCTAGATAAGATCATTTTGGTCTACAAATCTACATAGGGATGACTAAAACTAAGATTAAAGGTAGTTCAAATAATTGTGACCACCTGAACAAGTTAGAAGCTGATGTTAAGATTAGATAATCATCAAAATTAGTACATAAAATTCTTGCATTGCCTAGCTTCAATTTTTGAGATTGTCTAATCAATTTTAGGGACACCAAAGTGAAAATTTTAAAACTCCACTACTGTATACTGATGGCAAAGGCAAATTAATTCCGGTTCCAGAAGAAGAAGCATTAACCCATTACTTCATATACACGCCTTTTAACGCCTTTTTCACCCCCCCCCCCCTTTTTGTTGTCTCAAATGATGAAAAAATGCCTTATTTAGGCCCCAAACACTTGTTTTTGTTTGAGAAATGTTGTTAAAAAAAGTGACCCTTTTTTCGGCGCGGCCCCCCAACCAAAAGATACATCAGGGGGTTGCCAGAAGGGGGATGTGCCCCCTTCTGTTTGGGGGGGTTTGAAGGGGGGCGGAGTCCCCCTCATCGCCAAGAAAATTTTGGACTTGTGAGAGGCTGTAAATGACCCCAGATTGATCATAAGGTAACGTGTAACCAACGCTGAAAAGCATTTGACTCTATCTCAATCCATTGAGAAGTTGCAGCACTTTGAAATCAATTTTGATGGAAAAAATCAACGCAAAATAGTGATTTTTGGCAATTTTGAGATGTCCCCTCGTTGCCATGGTAACAGAAAATTTAAGCCTGAGCATGTTGTTGCAAGGACAATGGTCCAGTCAACATTTGTGCCAAGTTTGATTAGTGTTGAAGCAGTTTTTATAGTATTATAGCAATTTGAACTTGTAACGGGAGACTTTTCAATGAAAACAGCCATTTTTCACAAAATGCTCATGAAGCAATGGGTTAATGAAAAAAATCAAAAAATCTACAAAACAACAATTTTTCTTCAAATTTATATGACAGGCCATGTTTAAACATGAAAAAAACGCGATTTAGGGTAATTTCAAGTATTTTCATCATTTTCTGTTAACCCATTACTTCATATACACGCCTTTTAACGCCTTTTTCACCCCCCCCCTTTTTGTTGTCTCAAATGATGAAAAAATGCCTTATTTAGGCCCCAAACACTTGTTTTTGTTTGAGAAATGTTGTTAAAAAAAGTGACCCTTTTTTCGGCGCGGCCCCCCAACCAAAAGATACATCAGGGGGTTGCCAGAAGGGGGATGTGCCCCCTTCTGTTTGGGGGGTTTGAAGGGGGGCGGAGTCCCCCTCATCGCCAAGAAAATTTTGGACTTGTGAGAGGCTGTAAATGACCCCAGATTGATCATAAGGTAACGTGTAACCAACGCTGAAAAGCATTTGACTCTATCTCAATCCATTGAGAAGTTGCAGCACTTTGAAATCAATTTTGATGGAAAAAATCAACGCAAAATAGTGATTTTTGGCAATTTTGAGATGTCCCCTCGTTGCCATGGTAACAGAAAATTTAAGCCTGAGCATGTTGTTGCAAGGACAATGGTCCAGTCAACATTTGTGCCAAGTTTGATTAGTGTTGAAGCAGTTTTTATAGTATTATAGCAATTTGAACTTGTAACGGGAGACTTTTCAATGAAAACAGCCATTTTTCACAAAATGCTCATGAAGCAATGGGTTAATGAAAAAAATCAAAAAATCTACAAAACAACAATTTTTCTTCAAATTTATATGACAGGCCATGTTTAAACATGAAAAAACGCGATTTAGGGTAATTTCAAGTATTTTCATCATTTTCTGTTAACCCATTACTTCATATACACGCCTTTTAACGCCTTTTTCACCCCCCCCCCCTTTTTGTTGTCTCAAATGATGAAAAAATGCCTTATTTAGGCCCCAAACACTTGTTTTTGTTTGAGAAATGTTGTTAAAAAAAGTGACCCTTTTTTCGGCGCGGCCCCCCAACCAAAAGATACATCAGGGGGTTGCCAGAAGGGGGATGTGCCCCCTTCTGTTTGGGGGGGTTTGAACGGGGGCGAAGTCCCCCTCATCGCCAAGAAAATTTTGGACTTGTGAGAGGCTGTAAATGACCCCAGATTGATCATAAGGTAACGTGTAAACAACGCTGAAAAGCATTTGACTCTATCTCAATCCATTGAGAAGTTGCAGCACTTTGAAATCAATTTTGATGGAAAAAATCAACGCAAAATAGTGATTTTTGGCAATTTTGAGATGTCCCCTCGTTGCCATGGTAACAGAAAATTTAAGCCTGAGCATGTTGTTGCAAGGACAATGGTCCAGTCAACATTTGTGCCAAGTTTGATTAGTGTTGAAGCAGTTTTTATAGTATTATAGCAATTTGAACTTGTAACGGGAGACTTTTCAATGAAAACAGCCATTTTTCACAAAATGCTCATGAAGCAATGGGTTAAACTATCACATTTACAGAAATATAAACTGTCTTTAAGGACAACTGCTGTATGTCCCTTGATAAAGTAAGTATCAACATCTAGAAGAACAAAATAAATACAATCTCTGAGAAGATATTATTGTTCAAAATATTTGTCTTAGAAAACTTCAAGATTTTACCTGTTCTTTTAATGCATCTATATGATTAACATAAACATGAGCATCTCCCAGAGTGTGTACAAAATCCCCAGGCTGAAATGGAAAATTCAAAAGATATATTAAATGAATATATCTGGAAAAAAGCGATCCCTCAGAAGCATCAAAATCACCAAAATTACATGAAAATCGCAGACTTGGTTTAAAGGAGTCTGTACAACCGTACATGAGGGATAATGAAAAAGTTCAACAGCTTTCAGGCTGACGCCCGCAAGCACCAGGTTGAGTGATATTCAACACTTATAATTGCTAAAATCAATGTATTATGCTTCAGACCCATCATCCATACAGTAATTGCTGAATCATAATGATAACAGCCTGTCTGTGACGTGAACAGTTACTTGCTTAAACTGGTCATTTTTTTTAGTTTCATCCAACATTTTAATTAATGAATCCAACATGCTGACTGTATAACCAAACATTTTCAAAAGTAATTTCTAAAATCAAATATAAGCTACCGGTAACAAAACCAAACTAAGTATCAACCAAAGAAGTTCAGATGGATCATCTTTGATCATGAAATGAATCAATAAAAGTTGCCCTTCTTTAATAAAATTTGAAATAAGAGAATCTATGAAATCTTAATAATTTAAGGACTGAACGTATTTGTACAAACCTTTAGACCTGTAACTTTAGCTATCATATATGTTAGTAGAGAATAACTTGCTATGTTGAACGGAACACCAAGACCCTGTAACAAACAAAAAGCAGATGGCATGATCATTTTCAGCATTATTTTTTTTGGATAAAATTTTTCTTTCATTGTATCTAAATTAAAACTTACTTTTTTACTCCAAGAAAGCATGAAACTACATTTATGTTCAAAATCACATAAAAATTTACAAGTTTTTCAACAGTATTAACTTTAAACACAATCATAACAGGGAATACTAGTTCAACTTATACTTTTCTGTATTTCATCATTTAACTTATTTATCTTATTTACTTTGTTAGTACATTACCATATCAGCTGATCTCTGATAAAGCTGACAGGAAAGTTCTCCATTACTAACATAGAACTGTACAAATGAATGACAAGGGGGCAGTGCCATCTTGTCTAAATCTGAAATAAACATTTCATAGTTTTCATAAAATTGAACTTTTTTTCACTCCTAAAGCTGAGGCACAAATTGTAGATCAGTGTCATGAACACATTATTAACTTAGTATAATCTGGAGAAAATAAAAATCTATAACATTACTTATTCCAGTACTGACACAACAACAGTTGTGATTATAGAGTAACTCAGGAATTAAGAATATTTGGGAATTTCCTAGCTAATCAAGTGATGTTATAAATTTGTGCTAAATGGTTAAATATTAAATATATTGAAAATAAGCACAATACACCAATTACTCTATTCTGAATAGTAGTACATTGTGAAGTTGTAATGGTAAAACTTTGTAAGATAAAAGAAATTGAAACCCATAATTGCCAGTTTCTGATACTGTACATTGTATATCATACTTTGTATATTGGCTTGAAAGTTGACTTATAAGTTTTAATAATCTATGTCTGGCTTTACCTAAAGGGTTCCATGCTGACATGATAATTCTACGATCGTCAGGGTTTGTTTTAATTTTATGGATAACGTCCTTCAGCTGATCTATACCCTGACCAGAATAATCAGCGTGCATGTCTTTATATTCTGCACCAAAATGTCTCCATTGAAACCCATAAACTGGGCCTAGATCTCCTATAAATATCACATGTAAATATTTCATCATACATGACAGACTTTCAATATGAGCAATTACATTCATCATTTTTAGGGAAAAAATTCAAAATATTTACTGATGTTAATTTTGTTTTATGGAGCACCAACTCAAGGTAGGTCATATGGTGCTGTAACAGGAAAGAAGATTTTGGCTAACCTAGGGTATTACAAACTTAAAGCAACACTAGGTGTCAAAACCACCTCACAATGCAAAGACTCCAGTAAATGTTTTTAACTTATACAGTTATAGAATTTAGCACTGGCCTGGTGGCCCATAGCCAGTGCTAAATGGGTTCGGGCCAGTGTAAATTTTAAGAAAATCTGGTTAAACATATAGTAGAATAAATTCAAAATTGGAATTTGGGCCAGTAAATTCAAAATCTTTAATTCAATGACTGCTTATAATATATATTTTCAAGTAAAATAACTTATCTTATTCATACTTGTGTAATGCAAGTAGCTTAGTTTTTACCCTAATAGGGCTTACTCCTGGATATAACAGCAGACACAGTGTCCTCTAGACCATTTATGTCTCTGACCAATTAGTGCTTTTTGAGATAAACAATTGCATGGCACTTGAATTGTCATAATCTACGCATCTATACAGATTTCATTATCAACAAAAGCATAATATATTACCCTCTTCTCTGTGACCAAGGCCTATACCAGAGAGAAACTCTTTCGAGCCATTAGCATCCCAGATGTTAACTTTTTTCTCCTTTAAAACATTGGCATTTGTACATCCCTGAACAAACCATAGCAGTTCCTCCGCCACACCTCGCCAGAAAACACGTTTTGTTGTCAGCAATGGAAATTCTAGAAAAACAACACTATGTCATGTAACAGTTGATACATACAAAATTACTAACAAAATTATGCTAAATTCTACTATAAAGTGAGTATGAAAGTCAATTAAATTTTACTATTTTCCATATTGAAAATTCTTTGTTCAGATTCTGAGGATTCATAAGTACCAATTACTTAAGTTAAAGTCATCAAATAGCAAATATTCAATTTAAAATATTTATGTACATGATGCATCAGTCAAACCCTGATTATTGACTGTATTATATTAATTCATGAATATGTTATTACATCATACTATGATACAGTAATGAATTTCAACAGACTTAATGCTAGATCAAACAGGAAACTATCACTTCAAAACTTTTTTTAATATCGATTTCTAAGCTTCAAATTATCCTTAATTAATGCAATGTAAATACAATTTAATATTTTGACTGATGAACTGCCAACATTTTTAAACAGGCGATTATCAATTTCGGGTATTCCACTTTGAATATAAGGAAGTAAATAATCTAACAACAGAATATTAAAGTCTAAACTGCACAAGAATGGAATGGACTCTGTACTACTGACAAAGGTTTTTGCAGATTTGGTGTATGTATTGTAAGGTTTGAAATATAACAGTCAATGTTTGAAATCACAACTTACCATCACGAAGGTTATATCGCATCTGCATTCCAAATATAGACAGAGTATCAGTGCCTGTTCTATTGCTTTTCCTCACCCCATGATCTATAATCTCTTGAATGGCATCCAGGTAGTTGTACTCAGAATGTCTGTAAAAACATTTAACAAGTTTGCTGCAACAGCTGTTATGTACAATGTATTCACATATTTGCAAGGATTCAAAGGAACAGAAGAAATATACCTTGTTTTCACCTAGGATATTTGTAAGGGTTCAAGGAAAAAGAAGAAATATACTCAACTTTTATTATATTTGGTATTTCGTTAAAGTTTCTAAAAAGTTTCTCATTGCATGACCATTGGCAATTGGTATGATTATAGTGATTAAGTATTTTGTATTGAAGTCAAAATACTACTTTGTTGACATTTTACTACCTTTGTATTCAGCACTATTTTCTAATTTGTTTAATATCTATCATGCTCTAAATCCATAATTAAAACATTATCAAACACATGTTTGACCTTTCTGATGAATTAAAAACAAGAATCTGTGTTTGATAAACACAAATGCCCCCGCGCTAACTGTTGTCAATAATTTAACTTTAGAGAGTGAAGTAGCTAATTTGTATGGAAGAAAACCAATCATGTGTAGAAATCTGTAATTGGCACCCTTGACCTTGACCAACTGACCACCACCTGTATCAAAAGGAAAAATATCATGCAAGTTATTTTCCTACCAAATATGAAATAAATCTGTCAATAAATAAAGGCTGTATGGGCAAAAGTGTAAAAAATCTATTTTTAGCACTGGTGACCTTGACCCAACTGACCCCTAACTCCATCCAAAGGAAGAATATCATGCAACTTATTTTCCTACCAATACCAGATAGAACATAAGATATTTCCAACTTGGCGGTTTAGGTTAACCATTATTCATTTTCTAAGTGCTGAAAAGGGCCATAACTTGGTGCAAATGGAAGCCATAGTTATGTAACTTGTCCAGATTGGTACAGGTAGAATTTAAGAAAAATCCAACTTGCCGTTCTAGGTTAACCTCGTACGGACAGACGGACGGACAGTTCAATTACTAAATGCCCGGGGGCATAAAAAATATTGATTTCTGAGGCATAATGTGCCTTAAATGATTAATTTCTTAGTCTGACCTTAAACTTAATGGACAAGGACCTTGCAAATTATAACACGCCATCTCACTTGCGTGCATATTTTAACAAAGAAATAATTCATTTACAAAATCCACAGAGGACAACAGACAAAGTTACGGACTGAACACACAAAAAACAACAACAACATAACTCACTTTGGACTTTTGAGTTTCTGTTTGTTTTGACCTTAGATCTACAAACAAGCCTTTTGTGTGCAAAACATCAAATATCAATTCATTACATAAATCTGCTAAAATGCATTAAGAAAGAAGGTAATACTATATTTGCAAACATACTTACCCCAGTGACTGATAGCATTTATAAAACAAAAAGAATAGATTATAACATGGACTAATTAAAAAAGATATAAAAAAATGGGTCAAAGACAGAAAAAGCCGGGTTGCATTTGTACACCAAATATTCATGAGGCTGTGATGTTACGAAAAAAATTTTCCATTGACCCATTAATGTTGAAAATTTAATTCAGTAGGTAAACAGGAAGAGGATGAGCGACAGACCTGAAATCATATCCCACAGTATGGGACCATGTATCAATGCTGTATGCCAAATATCAAGAGGCTGTGATAAGTAGTTGCTGTGAAAACTGTTACGAAAATTTCCTACCATTGACCATTAATGTCGAAAAATCTAACTAATTTAACTAAGTGGATAAACAGGAAGTGGATGAGCGACAGACCTGAAATCGAATCCCACAGTATGGGACCATGTATCAATGCTGTATGCCAAATATCAAGAGGCTGTGATAAGTAGTTGCTGAGAAAACTGTTACGAAAATTTCCTACCATTGATGTTGAAAAATCTAACTAATTTAACTAAGTGGATAGACAGGAAGTGGATGAGCATCAGACCTGAAATCCAATCCCACGGTATGGGACCATGTGTCAATGCTGTATGCCAAATATCAAGAGGCTGTGATAAGTAGTTGCTGAGAAAACTGTTACGAAAATTTCCTACCATTGACCATTAATGTCAAAAAATCTAACTAATTTAACTAAGTGGATAAACAGGAAGTGGATAAGTGACAGACCTAAAATCCAATCCCACGGTATGGGACCATGTGTCAATGCTGTATGCCAAATATCAAGAGGCTGTGATAAGTAGTTGCTGAGAAAACTGTTACGAAAATTTCCTACCATTGACCATTAATGTCAAAAAATCTAACTAATTTAACTAAGTGGATAAACAGGAAGTGGATGAGCGACAGACCTGAAATCGAATCCCACGGTATGGGACCATGTGTCAATGCTGTATACCAAATATCAAGAGGTTGTGATACGTAGTTGTTGAGAAAACTGTTACGAAAAATTTTTCCCCGCCCGCCCGCCGCCCGACATTCACCATACTATAACCCGGGTTTGCACCTGTGCAAACCGGCCAAAAATGGTAATCGCAAAAAAAAATGTTAAAACAGGGCCCTGATAGCTCTAGATTAATCACCAATAATGTGAAAATTTTATTTCTAAATTCTAATTCAATTTAAAGCTGAACATTTTTTTTTTAATTATTTCTATTTTCTTATCTGCCAGTAATCTTGTTAAACAAACCAACTTTATTTTAATTATTTTCTAACAATATCACAATAAAGTTGAATCAAAATCTGCATTGCAGTTAAAAGCTTATTTCTAAATTATTTTTTTATCCAGTTTAGCCAATAGAAACGTTAATACAGTACTATAAAGGGGGAAAAATGTATTTACTGTAAAAAATTTACAGATTTTTCAGATATTTGTATTCAGAAATTTTAAAAGAATCCTTAACATTCTGTCAACTTTTACTTGCATTATGTTAACAATTAAAATAAAGGAAGTAAAATACTCTGATTGACACATAAAATGCACTTACATGACTGTACTTTACTACTATTACAAATTATTTTGAAGAAATACTATAAACATGTAAAAAAAAAATTCTATTCTGTTCATTATATGTAAACAGGTGTGAATATAAGCATGCAAAGAATCAAACAATTTATTCAATATATACAGTATAGTGCAATATATATTCGGACAAAATGGCAGCGCGCTAAAAAAATAACGGAGGCGAAGGAAAATTTTACGATAAATATTACGGTTAATTCTTACTGTATTCTATTGTAACTTACCTAGTACTTGGATAGATGACCTTTCAGTCGAATTACACTCAATAAACGTCTTGGGATTGACCGGTAGAGGGTTTGAATGTATGCCGGAGTAATGTCTGTCCATATACACTGAATTTCCCGGAAAAGATCTTCTCTACTTTCTATTCGGCCTACTCGTCCCTGGAGTTTTCTTTTTATCAGAAGCCACAGATTCTCTATAATATTGATATCTGGGCTCTGTGCTGGCCAACTCATTCTTGGTATTCCATTCCTATGAAGGAATTCCTGGGTTGAACGGGCGCTGTGGACTGGGGCATTATCGTCTTGAAAAATAAAGCCCCCAGTTGAAAAATGACGTGCGATAACTGGCCACAAGTTGTCGTCGAGGATAGACTGATATTTTTCAGCATTTATATTGCCATCTACGGCTGTTAAAGTTCCAACCCCGTACCAAGTAATGCACCCCCATATCATTAGTTCGAAGCATGGCTTGACGCGTCGAGAACCGGCCAGGTCTGGTCTCCACCCCTCGCCTCTTTTTCTCCAGATATATATCCGAGAATCTTTCCCAACAACAATTTTTGACTCATCAGAGAATATTACTTTCTTCCAATGACCTTCAACAGTAAGTTTCATCTTTTCACGGCACCATGACAACCGTTTCCTGCGATTTACCTCCCGGATAGTCAGTTTCTTCCTTGCTACTCGTCGCCTAAATCCATGCTTATGTAAATGAAATTGTAATGTCCTTTTAGCTAGTGGCCTGTCTCTGTTTTCATTAAATTTAGTCGTTATATCTTGTAAACTGTCTCTCCTATTACTTTATACTAACCTTTCCAACCTCCTATACTCCCTTGCTGTCACAGTTGGTTTTCTACCACTTCTTGGAATATTTTCTATAGAATCTCTCTGCTCAATTCGCTTCTTTAAACTTCCAACCGTCGATCTAGGCACATTTAAAGTATTTGATACAAAATCAATTGTTTTACCTTCTTCAAATAATTTTTTAGCAATTTTTTTTACCTCCGGCATTAATTCTTTTCCCTTTCGCCCCATGTTTAATTTTCGTTCTTTAGATTTACTTAAACGCAGCAGACGAATCAAATTACATGATGTAAGAAACGTCACATTTCTTAGTATTCTAAAAATAACCTACAAAAACCCCGTTTCTATTTATAACTCGATTTACCGAGTACACATTTGACCCATTTGATGACAACGCTGTGACGCGACGCCATTTTGTCCGAATATATATTGCACTATACTGTATATCTCTAAATAAAGATTTTATTATTATTATCATTATTATTATTCCAAACCTTTGTAATCCTATAATAGAATAAAAACGTTTCAACATTTGATATCCATTGACAAAGCTCTTTATTAAAATCATGATCTACATGCACCTAACAGATACTTTTAGCGTAAAATAACATTTTCCATATATAATCTTTAACATATATTAACATACCTTGCCAAATCTTCTCATTTCAGGAAGTAAATTTATGACATAGATAAAAGTTTATTTACAGGTACAGTTATAAAAGTTTATTCACAGGTACAGTTAGAACAAAAAGTAGGAAAGAAAGTTTAGCTTTAGAAAGTTTAGTGTACAATTTAATGGTAATATCACTATCACACGCATTTCCATAAAAATCTCCCCCCCCCCCCATGTCACAATAAACTTATTGATATAAATGTGATATAAATGACATCACACTTGTTAAATATTGTATGTACATGAATATTGCTGCCAAATTCCCCCTCCCTCCCCTAAAACAGTAAATATTTTCCCCCTATTTCTTTCATTTTTTTAATTACCCTTATACTACATTTTGTTTATTATTTCATCTGCCTTTTTATGCCCAAAGCAGGAGCTTAAAAAATATCCTTTTTTTTTTTGTGGAAAATAAATATTAATTTATATTGCCAACAAGAGTATTGTCCCTATAGTAATGCATGTGCAGCAAAAATTGCCTGAAATTCCCATACAAGAGAAAACAATGCATAAATGTCCCCTAGCTCCTACAGGTACTGTGCCCCCAAAAACAGAGAGATGGAGAGAGCCCTGATAAATCACTATAAGGGATACCATTAAATGATTTCCTTGATTAGTAATAAAATGTAAAACACAAGAAAGATGTGATGGTTCTTTTATGGCTCACCTGAGCTCAAAAATATGTGAAAATACAATAAACTGACCGTTCATACCTTTTACATCTCGCTGGTTTTCCATTCACTTCCGAGTGACCATTCACTTCCGAGTGACCATTCTGTTTAATTTTAGAAATATTATCACCAATAGTTCCATTTGTTTCAACAGACATCTTTTATGACCTGGTCAATCCTGTAAAAGCAGAAAGGTTACATGTTAGATGTCCTGGTTAACTTGAACCACAAAAAGGGCTATAATAATATTCTTTCACAATCCCAGCTAGAGTAATGGGTCCTTAACAATGTCAATTATAATCCTAACAAGAGACCGGTTTGAGCCGGGTGATGCTCCCGAATAGGTTTTGGACACAGGAAAGTACACCTCTTGTAGTTTCAGAGTTATGTCCCTGGAAAAAGTTCAAAGTGCAATAATTCAAAAATTAGGCAAGGCAGAGTTACTGTTCTTTGCACTTCTAATCAATGTGATCTATCAACCTACAAAGTTTCTTGATGATATCTCTTATGATTTCCGAGTTATGTCCCGGACAACTTCAAAAAGTAAAAATAAACAAAGGGCAATAACTCCAGAATTAGGCAAGGCAGAGTTATGATTCTTGTGCACTGAACATATACCCATTGAGATATATCTACCTACAAAGTTTCATGTTGATATCTCTTATAGTTTTACAGCTATGTCCTGGACAAGATTTTTCTAAAAGGGGAGATAATTCAAAAATGAGGCTTAACAGAGTTATCGTTCTTTTGCACTGCACCTCTACTCAATGAGATCTATCCACCTACAATGTTTCATCTTGATATCTCTTATAGTTTTAGAGTTATGTTCCGGACAAAGTTAAAAGTGTTAAAATTACCAAAGGGCAATTACTCCAAAATTAGGACAAAAAGAGTTATTATTCTTGTGCACTGCACATCTACTAGTACTAACATCTACCCATTGAGATCTATTCACCTACAAAGTTTCATGTTGATATCTCTTATAGTTTTAGAGTTATGCCCCGGACAAGATTTTTCTATAAGGGGAGATAATTCAAAAACCGGGCAAAATAGAGTTATGATTCTTTGACACTGCACTCCCCCTCAATGCCCTCTACCACTGTATGAAGTTTCAACAAATTATCTCCAAGGGTTTTCGAGTTATGCTCCGGACAAGACAACGGACGGACCGACAGACAAGGCGCCGACTATATGCTCCCCCGAAATTTTTCGGGGAGCATAAAAACATGAGAGGACTTGAAAGCAAATATTTTTAGTGGTTTAAGAGAACTAATGCAGTACAAGAAGTTGCATGTAGTTTAAACCAATATGTTACCCTGATGCCTGAGAGGACAACGACACAAGTAGGATAGCCCTACTTTCTTTCATTAAAAAGAAATGATGAAAATGCAGGGATTTCTTTTGGCTTATTTTATAGCCGTTATTGGATCATATTCCCAATTGAAAATAGTATATTATTTTCCCAATCCACAGGAAAAAATTCCCAATTAAAAATTACAAAATAAAAATATTAAATAAAAGTTCTAAAATCTTTGCAAATAAGGGCTTCTTCACTGTAATAGTGCTTAAATGTTTGAAGATGCCATCATAGACAGTAATTGTTTGCATTCATTTAATCACTGCAAAATTTCAGTTATGCAGTTTTTCCCCAATTTTAAACAAAACACCGCTGAAATTCCCAATTCCATGGGTATGGGTCATGTTCCCAAAATCCTGGAAAAAATCCCTGAAATGTTAAGGAAAACCTAAGGTTGATGTATGTTCAATGCTAGATATCGCTGCACTGAACTGCTATGGTTTGGGGAGCAGGGCAATTGTAGGGCAGCAGGGCCTTTTCACTAGTTTTGAGGAAGGGGCCCTAGCCCTTTTTGTGGGGAAAAAATGCGCGATTTTCACACTTTTGGGGAAAATATCATATTTTCACACATTTCGGGGGAATATTATAATTTATTTGCATATCTTCCTCCAATCACATTTAAGGTTTACTATAGTACTAAGCTTTCTGTCCAAAAGGAGTAAAAGACATTTTTTACAGATCAATTTATTGCCCCTTTATATTAACTCATATTTCCTATTTATAGTATTTTACGTTGGTCATGTGAGGGTTCTTGGTTTGATTCAGAGGGTACATTATTATCAGTTTACACTGTATAACTGGCACTGATGTGCTAGGCTCGCTATTTCCAACAGTTGGGCATGTTGTGCTACTCGGACACATGGGCTTGCACTAACAAGGTCATCAATTCATCCAATTTTTAATAAACAATTACAAACGTCACTCAATCGTATTTCCTTCTTGTTCTGTGACATTGTTTACATTAGTGACATCGTATTGGTCGCCATATTGTCGTAACAAATCACATGTGCACTAAAAAATAAGGCAGCAGGGATTTCCCATGCTGTTTTTAGAAAGTTGCAAACTCAGACTGAGGCTCTGAGTTAACATCAATTGTATTAAATCAAGGTATCCCTCTATTGGGTTATTGAATTATTAGCTTTCATTGGACAAAACAATTATCTATTTTTAAACTAGAAAGTTTGTTTACAAGTTTTATTCTTCAGTTAAAGGGGAAATATTTGCCAGAAGGGGAATTTTAGACTGTTTTTTGGGGAAAAAAGGTAGTCATTTGGCTTGGGGAAGTAGCCTGATACAGGCTACAGCAAAGAAGGGTAAAAAGGCCCTGGGCAGGCTATATTAACTTTTTCCAATGCCACCAACTCAGTTGGAATTGGGAACAAGAGGGCCATAACTGCCCTAATATCACTCACTTGAATATAAATACTCTTATCGACAAGGAACAAGACTATTTGTATAAACTATTTCGATCTCAATAAAATTTGTATAAACTATTTCGATCTCAATAAAAACTAACGTTTTGCCATTTATGGTGAAACTGAATAAAAATATTTCATGTTATTTTATGTATATCTTATTATTTCACAAAATTTTTAATTCCATTATGAAATAGTGCACATGTAAAAACATTACTTGTTGTTATTTCTCAGGAAAGACAATAATTTCTAAAGAAGTCACTGGTTGCTGTACAAAATTAATGGCTTCCTTGGAAGTCAGTAGCTACTATAAAATTCAATGGTTGACTTACTCTTGCTTTGGAAGTCACTGGTTGCTATGGAAATTTGCAGTTTGCTATAGAAGTCAATGGTTGTTAAGGAAAGCAAACAGTTGCTATAGGAGTCATCCATTGTTATGGAAAGTCAATGTTTGCTATGAAAGTCAATGGTTGCTGAAGAAAGTCAGTGCCTGCTATGGAATTTCATGGTTGCTATGGAAAGTCAGTGGTTGCTATGGAAAGGTAATGGTTACTTTGGAAAGTCACTGAATGCTATAGAAAGTAACTGGTTGCTAAAGAAGTCTATGGTTGCAATGGAATGTCAATGGTTCATATGTACTACATCACTGGTTGCTGTTATGAGTCACTGGTTGCACAGTGAAATGCTATGATTGGTATGGAAAGTCACATGTTGTTATGGAAAGTCAGTGGTTGCTATGGAAGTCTATGGGTGCTACGGAAAGACTCTGGTTGCTATGTAAGTCAATGGTTGCTATTGAAAGTCACTGGTTGATATGGAAAGTCAATGATTGCTATGATCGTCCTGTGTAGCAAGGTGTTGTTAGGGCTTTGTTTAGTTACTGGAGCTCTATCTTGTTGATCTCTTTTTTTTCATTATTTTTTATTTCTAAATTTATCAATGATATTTTTTGCTTTTAGTGATATAAACCTTTAAGTCAATATGCTAATAAATTTTGATGTTTGCTTAAAATTTGCATAAAGTTGTTCATTATGGCATGGTTTTAGATACACATATTACTCCAACATTTACAAAACAAGAATGTGTTTGTTAAACACAAATGCCCCCGGCTCAGATTCTTGTTAGTAGCAATATTTCAAAAAATGTTTACCCATTCACTCAGTTATGGACAGAAAAATTGCCAAAAAATTGTAAACACAAGTTATATAGCTTGACAAAGTCATGGCATTTTGTAATTGTGAAAAATATAAGTTGCCAAGTCATTGCTCTGACTTGTGAAGTTGAAAAATATTCAACTTCATGCAAGTTATCTTCCTACCAAATATGAAATAAATCTGTCATTAAATAAAGGCTGTATGGGCAAAGATGTAAAAATCCATTTTGAGCACTGGTGACCTTGACCAAACTGACCCCTAACTCTATCCAAAGAAAGAATACCATGTAAGTTATCTTCTTACCAAATATGAAATACATATGTCAACAAGAGCTGTCCGTAAGACAGCGCGCTCGACTTTTTTATTGCTTGCCAATAAAAAAAGTTTTTGCAGTAAAAGGCAATACAAGAATCTCTGTATTTTTAAAGTGAACAATGGCCATGAGCATTAAGATATTTAGTGAAGAATTATTTTATTATGACATAATTTATGGTAAAGTGAACAAGTGGATAGGAATGAATTTTTTTAGATTTTTTAAGTTTTTTAGTGCTTGCCTATAATACAAAACATTGACAGTTAAGGGCCATAATTCAAATAAAATCTTTGACAGAATTACCTTCTCCTGGACATGTTTGGGAATCATGATTGTAAACAAGTATTCCAACTTTCAAATTAATATCTCAAACAGTTCAGTCAAAAAGTGGACTGGTACTAAAAACTTAACCAAGATTCTAAGTCGATAAAAGGCCTTAATTTTTAAAACAAATCCTTGACAGAGTTACCTTCTCTTGCGTACAGATGGGGGTAATGATGTGAAATAGCATTAAAAGTTTCAAAGCAATATCTCAAAGGGTTAAGGCAATAAGTGGATTTTACCCATATTCAATGTATTTTCTAAGTCAAAAAGGGGCATAATTCTGTCAAAAACCTTGACAGAGTTATGTCCTCTTGTCTGTTGATGAAGGTCGTGATGGTAAACAAGTATGGTCAGTTTCAAAGCAATACCTCCAATGGTTTTGAAATAAAGTGAGGTGGTACAAAAAACTTAACCAAGCTCAATACACTTTCTAAGTCAAAAAAGGGCCATAATTCTGTCAAAAACCTTGACAGAGTTATGTACTCTTGTCTGTAGATGGAGGTTATGATGGTGAACAAGTATGGTAAGTTTCAAAGCCATACTTGTAATACTTCTGAAATAAAGTGGGGTGGTACGAAAAACTTAACCAAGGTGTGACGCCAACGCCGACGCCGG